TCCTCTTCTGTCATTTTGATTGCCTGATTTTGGTTGGTGTCCGTTTCTAGGGGGCTGGTGCTCCTCTTTGGGAGTGTGTTTTCCGTTTGGTTCTTCATATTTCCTGAGTTCCTTCGCTGATTTCTTCCCATGTTGGTCAGTTGTGGTTTCTTTCCTTTAGGTTTTTGTTTGGGTATTCACATGCCTGTTTAGTTTCTGAGCCGTTAGGTGGTGTCTGTGGTTGAGATTCAACCTGGCTATTAGTATTAATAGTTAAGTTTTAGGCCAAAATTATATGCAGATTTTGGACTATACTAGGGCCGGCATCCCTAATTGTCTCAAGGTTCAAGGATCAACTGTATTCCTTTTAAACTGTTTATGGCTTATTTAGTTCCATTTATCTCTGTTTCTTCTTGATTGGCATACTGTGTGAGGTAAGGATTTTATGTACCCTCCATATAAAGTTTGTTACATCATTTAAAATGTCAGACTGAGAGGAAATTGCTACTATATTTAGAGCTGAGAATGTTTCTAATCTAGGATATGTAAGGAGTTTTCACAAATCCATTTTTTAAAAAAGACAGGAAGCCCCAAAGGAAAATAAGCAAATTGGGATAGGTGATTTGCAGAAGGGGTGATTCAGCAATCTGGGTGAAAAACCCATAATAAATGCTCAGCTTAATTAGTAATCAAAAATCGCATATAAAAATGACAGTGAAATACCATAGGATACCCCTCATTGGCAAAAAAATAAACAGTCTTGTAAGATTAGGTACTAAAGAGGATGTGGGAAGCCTGCAGGCTAGCTGTACTGGTGAGATGATAAATGGGCACACTGAATCTGGAAAGCAAGCTAGACATATGTGGTGAAATCAGCACACTACTGGAAATACACTCCAGAGAGTTTCTCCTGGAGCAGCGCAGGTAGAAACATACAAAGACATTCCACACAGAAGGGCATAAGCAATAAATTGCAGAACTTAGAATTAATTGAAGTATGCATCTAATTATTGCAACATCTGTAGACTTCCCAAAACAATATTGGTGAGTAAATAAGAAGCAAACAGGGAACATGGACAAAAAGTTATGTAAGCAAATTTGAATTAAGGAGTGTCTATGCAACGGAGCAATGAAATTACAACCAAGGATGGAGGACACCCAGAACGCAGCCCTGGCCTCATGAACAGAGGTGTCAGTGACTGAGGGCTGTTCCACTGTGTGCAGATTGATTGTATTTGTCTTCATCACGTTTTGATCTCTCTTTCCTATTCATGCAAAGGAGACAATAGCTTAGCCAGTTTCACATAAATTTTGTGTGGTCTTAAGCTTAAATTTTGCAAGGATAAGTGTGCATAATTATTTCTTTTCAATATTTTTATAGAAAGTCTCTAATATTTCAGATGAATTCAGAACAATGTTTTTAAATTCTTCTCTAAAATATAGCAATTGTGATTGCAGCTATAGTTCATAATAATTATCAATTAATTTATGAGTAAATGACCTTCACAGAAAAATTTAGTTGTTTCATATATATCTGTGAAGCACTATAAATGTTCTTTTATGGATTTTGAAGATTTCCTGTCAAGGTTAAGAAAACATTAAAAAGTGAGAAAAAGGAAGGGAGGAAGGGAGCGGGAGAGGGAGGGAGGGAAAACAAACCAAAATACAGTTTAGAGAGTATAAAAGGATCAAGTATTTTTAGAAAGGTAGATAAAAGTATATAACTTACAGACACAAACATTGTTCCATATGTGTGACCTTGAGGGTCTTGTGCCTATGTTTATTCTGATTCTTTTCATAGTACTTTAACATTGCTAATTTACTTTTCTGCTTCTTCTGTTAGAAATTTGTTAGAGACTAAGACCCTCCACATTCCAACGACTTGTCCTGACTTGTCCTACGCACAGAAAATAGCCTAAGATAAAAATAGCACCCAGCCCTCCAGCTATAGTTCCGAGAAAAATGCATTACAGCTTTCGGTGCCATTGAGATGCTGATTGGGGCTATTAGCCCACACCCAAGCCTCATCATCCCCCCACTCTATTTTTCTGTTTCTACTTCCTTGTTTTCTGTATATAAAACCTACTAAAAATCCAAGTAAAGTAGACCTTGACAACCCTTTGCTTGGTCTCTTTTCTTTCTCTCGCCCATCTCTTTCAGGCACGGTCCCCCTCGCCCCCGCGAGTAACAAAAAGTCCCGCGAGTCAAGACAGAAATTGAGCTTTTTGAATGAAAGTTTTATGTTGCATCAGCAGAATCTGTCTCCGGGAGACTGTGGCAGGTAGAAGTCTAAGACAGCTCTCCATGACCCACATCTTGTTTAATTCCTCCCTGGATGGGGAGGGATTGTGAATATGACGGGCTCTCACTCTCATGATTACATTAGTTATACCACACTTTAAGAAAGGAAGATTATTGTTTGAGGAAGGATGATTGTCCTTCGTAGGCTTGACCAAATCATCGGATTCCTTTATATCTGGTTATAGAAGTCACAGACTAGAGAATCCAGAAATTCAAAGCCCAGGGAAGATTTGATATATAGGATCCTGCCACCAACCCTGGGAGGAGGAAGAAGGCCTGTGGCAAGAATGGCCTCCAGAAGTTATAAGTGGCTCCCAATAAGCAAATAGGCACCTCAGTCATTCAACTGCAAGGAATCGAATTTGGCCAACAACCTAACTGAGCTTGAAAGCAGATTCTTCCAGAGCCTCCAGTGAGCATGCAGCCAGTCAATACCGTGAGCATGAGACCCTGAACAGAGAAGCAAGCTGAGCTGTGCCACACTCCTCACAGTGGAAACTGTGATAATACATTTGTGTTGTTTTAAGCCACAAGGTATGTGCTAATTTCTTGCACAGCAATAGAAAGCTAATAGGAATTTTGCTTCCAGGAATGGGCTGCTGCCATAATAAACACTAAAATAATGTGTCAATGGACCAGGCACAGTGGCTCATGCCTAGCACTCTGGGAGACCAAAGCAGGAGGATCACTTGAACTCACGAGTTTAAGATCAGCCTGAGCAAATGCAAGATTACATCTCTACTAAAAATAGAAAAATTAGCTGGGCATCGTGGCATGTGCCTATAGTTCTAGCTACTTAGGAGGCTGAGGCAGGAGGATTGCTTGAGCCCAGGAGTTTGAGGTTGCTGTGAGCTGTGATGACACCACTCTGCCAGGGTGACAGAGTGGGACTGTGTCTCAAAAAAAAAAAAAAAAAAAAAGTGTCAGTGGCTTTGGAACTGGGCAGTGAGTAGAAGCTGGAAGAATTTTGAGGAACATCATAAGGAAAACTTAAATTGCCTTAGAGAAAGCCTACATTTCCTTGGGCAGACTATGAGTAGAAATCTGGACTTCAAGGATGCTGTCAATGAGGGCCCAGAAGGAAGTGAGGAGCAGGTTTTTGGAAATGGAGGCAAGTGAGGTCCTAACTAAGGATGTCATGGCAGAAATTGCATGCTGTTGTGTGAGGAGAGCAAGCTGTCAGTGGATCTTGCACACATGGCTGAGGAGACTTCTAAGCAAAGCTTTTGAGGTGCTGCCTTGTTTCTTGCTGGTTATAGCAAAGTTTGAGAGGAAAGAGAGCAATTGAGGGGAGAACTGTTAAACAAAAAGGAACTAGGACTGGGTAGTTTTGAAAATTCTCAGCCTCTCCAGATATCAGAAGATGGTAGAAGTCAGAGAGGGTTGCTGAAACCATGGCAGAGAGAAAAGGCTGAGACAGACCAAGATGTCAGAATAGCCAAAGAGTTTTGAGTATTTCTCCCAGGTCTCCTCAGTCACAACAGAGGGCTGCTAGGAGGCTGTCATCCCAGCAGGAGGGATTACCTCAGACCTGTGCATGTGGCTTTGTCTAATGAAGTGAAACCTGGTGAGACCCACTGACGAGGACCATAAGCTTCGGAAACACTCCCAGCTCATACTAACAGGAACAGAGAAAGTACGTAAGGAAAGTGGGACTTCAAAATTCTACTTGCAGAAAGCAAGCTGACAGACTGACTCAGATGCAAACATGTGCTACTTGCTGTAATAAAGGAAGGATAGTTAAGAATTTCCAAGGGACCGAGCTGAGAGCCACAGAGAATTTTTTCCCCAGGCCTTAAAACCTAGTGGAATTTGCCCAGTAGGATATAAAAACTGCCAAGGACAAGGAGCTCCTCCTTACTGCCACTCTTCCCCACAACCTCTTTTGGACAGGAATGTCTACAACTGTTATCCTGTGCCCAGCCCATAGGAGCTGTCATCCATTTCATAGGTCCACAGGTGGGGAGGGGGTGCGCCACAGCTGTACTTGATGGATTACAGCTAGGAATCTCATGCACACCCCATGTAGAACATTTAGATGATGAGATTGTGGATTTTGAGCTGATGGGATAAAGATATTTAGATTTAGATGATGAAATTTTGAATTTTGAGTCTATACTGTAATGGGATTAGACTCTTGGAAACCTTAGGTGCAGTGAATGCATTTTGCATTTGGGAGGGACATGAGCTATTGGAGGCCAAGGTTGGGCTGTGGTAGGCAGAACTCCTGGCGCCAGGCCCTTATATATTATAATTCCCTCCTGTCGAGTGTTGGGGGGGGGGACCTGTAAATACAATGGGCTATCCCTCCCATGATTATGTCATGCTGTGTGGCATGCGGGAGTTTAAGAAAGAAATACAATATAGTCCTTGGTGGGCCTGACCTAAGCATGTGGGCTGGCAGGGTCACAGAGTGCATTGACTCTGGAAAGCAAGCTGGAAATATTCGATGGCATTCCTTAAGCATCTGCCCTCTGACCATTACTGTCTGTTTCTCAGCATACTCCTCGACTGCCCTAATGTCTCCCACATCAACCTGGGGGCCTGGCGGGAGGGGCTCTGGGGCTCCCGCGGAGGCTGCCACAGCAGACCTGGGCTCCCGCGTGGAGGCTCCCCACGCCCAGTCCGGTGCTCCTGGATGGAGGCGGTTTCCCGGCGATCGTGATTGGCCGCGTGCCGCACTGTTCGCTCCGCCCGGAACACAGGCGCTGACCGCTGGATGGGGGGCAGCGGGGCGGGGCGCTCAGGCCGAGGCTGGAGGGGGGCCTGTGTGCTGGTGGCCGCCCTAGTCTGGCTGGGCTTCCTGCCGGTGCATGCCCAGTCCAGTGAGTGATCTCCCACCTCTCTCGGGTCCCTCCCCTCCATCTGCCCGACACCTGCTCGGAGAACCTCCGTGGAGCCAGGCTTGTCTCCTGGGGCCCTGGAAGGGGGTGTGGGAAGCCTGGCCTCCGTGGCCGAGGCTGGAGGGATCTGGCGTCCCTCTACCTGGGGGCCTGTCCTGCTAGGATCCCACACACCGTCTTCATTGGAAGGATGGCCAGGCCCAGGAGCGTTGGGCAGAGAGATGGTCTGAGGAGGGAGGGCACAAACCTTCATCAGTGGTCCTGAGCTGTCTGGTGGCTTCTGGAAACCTTCTGGCACTGCACGTTCACACAGGCCTGTGCTCCTTAAGTAATAAGGCTGGGAAGAGCCTGACCCCTTGCCCCCTCTGCCATCTCCCCTGGAGTTGCTGTGGGCTGCTGTTCTCTCTCCCCCTCATCCAGTGGGGCTTTGTCACAGGGGCCTTGGAGATTTCCCAGGTGCGAAGTGAGAGGAGGTGGGCCCTAGGTCTTGTCAATGCTGACAGTGGGGCCACCAAGGGCTGGGTCCTTAATGCAGAAGCCTCAGGGCTGGGGTTGTCTCCACAGATTGTGGGAAAAGTGCAGCCATCGGAGGGTCCCAGGGGAAGATCTTTGGTGGCCAGAAGGCAGGGCCTGAACGGTGGCCATGGCAGGCCAGTCTGCTCTACGAGGGCAGGCACATCTGTGGAGCCGCCCTCATTGACAGCAATTGGGTCGCCTCCGCAGCCCACTGCTTCCAAAGGTGTGTCTTCCCTCCTTGGGGCCCCCAGTCGCTGCGAAGGTGGGCAGGAGAGAAGAGGGGAGGGTTCCCGGCCATTTCTTTGTGGGCTTTGCCCTGGGATAGCTGCTGCCCCCTTCTTGAACACCACCGCACACACTACCTGGAGTGTCTCCCTGCTCATGGCGTGCCACTCTCCTGACCATCACCTCCTAGGCAGAGCACTTGTACCTCCCCACTTCACTCTGGGATGCCCCATCCCCACCCACCCCACTCTGGTCAATCTGCCAGGATGATGTGGTTGTCTCCATTACATGCATGTACTTTTCAATAGCTAAATCCAAATTAATTCACCTTAGCTGTGGTTATTAATACAGAAAAACAGACGTTAGTTTCAAAGTGACCACCTCCAGTCCACTCATTATCTGCCATAAACCTTAGGAACCAAACCAAACTCCTATTCCCACACAAGATGGGCTTTGCTTTCTCCATCTTGCCCAACTCTGGTCCCATGCAATCTCAGTGGACCTCAGTCTCCCCTTGTGTAAATAGTAGCGAGTATGTCATGTCCCTGGCCACACACTAACACAGGCTTCCCAGGGCCGAGGGAGCAGTGGTCAGAACCTGTGTGAACAGACTTCCTGCCCCTCCAGCCAGGGCTTTCCACAGGCCACCAGGGAGTGCTTACTGGAGGCTCCCCTGGGTCCTGGCTCCCACACACTCTGGCATGTTCTTGTCTGGAGGTACCCTGGAACTCTGTGTCTAGTCAGCATTTCTAGAGAAGTGTGCCTGGGAAGAGCTGTGGGCACCACTGTCCCTGCAGCCCACAATGAGGGATGAAGCAAATGGCCTCTGTCCTGGGGCCATCCTGCAGATGGGCAGAAGACTGGGCTGCTGTGCCCAGAGGGAGTGGGGAGGACATCAGGCTCCAAGCCAGGCAGCCAGGGCTGTGGCATAGCTGGCTTTGAGACCCCCTTGTGGGTTCCATTCATTTATTCAACACCCCTGAGTGCCAGGCCCCATATAAGGTGTACTGTGGGGGACATAGAGGTGCAAGACCCACCCTGAAGCTTTTCATCCTGTCAGGAAAGTGAGACCCTAGCCCAGCTCCCATGGCAAACCCTGAAAGTATGTCAGGGAGTTGCCATGGAGCTAACCGGAGCAGGGGCTTGGAGCTGGAAGGGTCTTGGGGGACATAGATTCAGGTATATGGGCTCTAGGAGGAGGACTACACAAGCAGGAGATAGAGGTTGGAAAGTCACTCGTGTTCTGGAAACAAGGAGTTCAGTTCCAGGTACTCTACAATTACCTGTGGAGCACCTGTTGCCAGGTGGAGGGCAGCCCTTGGAGAGGACATGTGAGGGCCAGGGAGGAGGGATAGGTCAAGCTGGATGGAGAGATGGGGTCTTTGAGAATCACTGCAGGCTATGGGGCCTTAGGAGTGTTCTAGTGAGAGCTGGGAATGAGGCATGTCTCCTCTCCTCTAAAACAAAGACATGCAGTTTGATACGTCCCTGGTGTTTCTTGCCAGCATGAATATTCTCTACTCCTTTGATTCTGGGGCATGCTGGAAAGCCATTGGAAACCTTCTGAGGACAAGTGTCATGAGGTGTGACAGGCAGTCAAGCCCACCTCAGGAGACAGGCTAGCCAGTATTAGGAAGGGAGAGAGAGATGCCTGGAAAGAAGGTGTGGTCTGGTTGCCAGCTAGGCGGTGGGGCCGGGGCTCAGCCAGCACTCAGAGGAGCCTCCCTGACAGGTCCTCTAACCCATCTGACTACCGGATCCTGCTTGGGTACAACCAGCTAAGCCGTCCCACAGAGCACAGCCGGCAGATGACCGTGAAGAAGGTCATTGTCCACAAAGGCTTTGACAAGCGCCACCGCATGTCAGACGACATCACCCTACTGCAGCTACACCGGTCTGTTGATTTTTCCCCTCATATCCGCCCCGTCTGCCTCCCAGAGTCCAACATGAAAATGCCAGAGGAGACATCTTGCTGGATAACTGGCTGGGGCATGATTACCGAGGACAGTGAGTGGCACAGGGCAAGTGACCAAGCTCCCTTCCAGTCCCTCCCAAGCTTCACATGACTTGTCATGGCTCAGAAGGCCTGAGCATCTCCAACTTAGGGATCAGGAACATGGGCTCTCTGACTCTGTGGTCCTGAGCAGCACTGATTCCACCCTGACTCCAACGTGTATTTATGGCTGGAGAACATCTTCCTCTGGGAGCCTTGCTCTCACTCCTTGCTCAGACTTGCCCATTCTTCCAGCTTGCTGGGCTTATCTGTTTGTAGACTCAGAGAGGAGAAATGTTGAGCAAAGATTTTTGCATGAGGGTGAATGCTTTTGATTTAGGAAAATATAACAGTGAGTGAGGAAAAAAGTAGCATGAAGATTTGGCCTGACTTGTAGAGTCACGATGTGGCAGTACCTCAGCAGAGGCACTCGGGAGAGGACTTTCTTTGACGTGCAGGCCAGAGCCAGCCTCCTGCTCCTGGCCACTGAATGTCACATGACTCTAGTTATTAGAATAGCCAGCCCTCTGAAGACAACCTCCTGGCATGCTCAGTCACTCTCTAAGAACCTGGGCAAGGAGACTTCTCCAGGACCGGTGGCAGGGGGGAGCTGGAGCTGGGAGGAATGTCACTGGCTGGAACACCAGCCACAGAACAGAAGCCACTGACATCACTGAAAGACTCAGCCTCCAGTTGTCCTTCCCTCTCTGAGCCCTCACCTGACCACAGTTCCTGGGCCTGGCCCCAGGCTGAGGTCTACCCTATACCAGCAGCCCCTGCAGACACATGAGGGCCCCATAGGACAGGGGTGAGCCATCGTCCAAATGCTGCTCCTAGTGGGAACCCCAGGCCAGACCTGTGAGCGAACTCTAGAAACAACCTAGGTGTCCACAGTTGCTCCTTGAGGCAGGGCCATGTCTGATTCATCATCCTGCTCAAGCCCACCTAGTTCCTGCTAGGCATGCCCCATCGCTGCTCCCCACCCCCCAGGCCAGCATTCCCAGCTTCCACCCTCCCTGCCTCCGCTCTGCCTCTAAAAACCAGCCAGAGGGTTTGTTTGTGATACAAAGAGGACCCTTCAGCTGTGTCCCAGTGTGCTAGGGGTGGGGGGACAGCCCAATTCCAGGCCCTGGCTCTGAGGTCCACCTGTTCTAGGCCCTGAGGTAACTCTTCCTCCCTTCCTTGCTCCCATGCCACACCTCCCTCCCTCCAGCCGCCCTCCCACCACAGGTCCCTCACTCTTGGGCTCTGGAATCTTCTCCCTTCCTCTTTGCAGCCTCCCATGCAGCTGGGGAGGGAGCGGGCTTCTCTCCAGGCTGCGCCCACATCTGACCCCTCTTCCTGCAGCTTTACTGCCTCCGCCCTTTCAGCTGCAGGAAGGAGAGGTTGGCCTCATACCGAATGAGTTCTGTAAAAACTATTTCCCATCTGAAGATTCCAGCAGCAGCTCTAGCAGAGCCTATGGTATCCGTGACGATAATGTGTGTGCTGCGGACCTTATTAATGGCAAGTCCATCTGCCGTGTAAGTACACCCCGTCCTTCCCTTGGTTCGGCTGCCTCTCTTCTCCTGTGCTGTCCCTGTCCTCCCTCAGTGTCGCCCCTTCCTGAGCCAAGCCCAGCCTGATGTGTCAAAACTGGAAGGACAGTAGCCCTTGCAGAGCATGGGTCCATCTCACCTGTTTGCCTCGTGTTGTTTAAAAAAACTTGTTGGAGCACAGCATACACAGACGAGGTCATGCTTTATACATGTACTGTTTGATGAGTTTTTAGAGATCGACACACTCATGTATCCAGCACCCAAAGGGTCCCACCACGCCCCCTTCCTGACTCTGACTCCCCCAACTGGCTTCTACTGTGACTCCATGTGGGGACTTTATCTGAATGGAATCACGTGGAATGTGGGGTTTTACCTCATCTCTTCAGTAAATATTATGTTTGTGAGATTTACCCATCTGGTTTGCAGTTTGTGTTGTTCATTCTTACTGCTGTATGGTAACCCCCGTGTGGACACATGAACTTTACTCACCGTTCTAGTGTTGGTGGAATCTGGCAGTTTCTGTTGAGGCCATTGCCATGCATTGCTGTGACCCTCCTGGTACACGTGTTTTAGAGAACAGGGGTTCACACTTTAGTTGGCGTCGCCCTGGCAGTGAAATTGCCTTGCTACGAGATGTGGGGGTTTGTCTTTTGTGGATACTCCGAGCAGCTCTCCAGCCTGGCTGTGCCGACTTGCACTCCTGCTGGCCGTGGGTGAGAGCTCAGTGTGCTCCACACTGCTGCCCGTGCTTCAGATTGTCTGTTATTTTCAATTTAACCATTGCATGTGACTTTTAATTTGGTTAATCTCTCCAGAGACTAATCTTATCTTCATGAGCATTTTTCATATGTTTATTGCCTTTTTGTAAAGTGTCTATGCAAGTTTTTATTTATTTTTTCTTTTTCTTTTATTTTTTATTTTTTTATTTTTTGGGGGGACAGAGTCTCACTTTGTTGCCCAGGCTAGAGTGAGTGCCGTGGCGTCAGCCTCACTCACAGCAACCTCAAACTCCTGGGCTCAAGCAATCCTGCCTCAGCCTCCTGAGTAGCTGGGACTACAGGCATGTGCCACCATGCCCGGCTAATTTTTTCTGTATATATTAGTTGGCCAATTAATTTCTTTTGGGGTCTCGCTCTTGCTCAGGCTGGTTTTGAACTCCTGACCTCGAGCAATCCACCTGCCTCGGCCTCCCAGACAGAGTGCTAGGATTACAGGTGTGAGCCACTGCGCATGGCCAGATTTTAGCCAATTATAAAGTTTTCTGCCTTTCATGTTGAATCATAGGAGCTCTTTATATATTGTAGATGTGAGTCCATTATTGGAGATATATATATATATATATGTTATCATGAATGTCTTCTCCACTCTGTGTACTCTTTCCATGCATGGTGGGAACACTGAGGCCCAGAGGGGAAATGGTCATCCCAGAGGGCCAAAGTGGAGTGTGGAGAGGCCTTGCCCTCCTCAGCTGAGCCCCTGGTGACCTCCTATGGCCTTCTTTCCCTCTCTCTTCCTGCCCTCCTGCTGTTCCCCCTCCTTGGCCATCCTCCACAGCTTAGAAACATTCTGCCCAGTTCCCATTGTAGAATGCCCTGCAGGCACCCTTGATGCTCCCCGCAGCCTCCCACCCGCCCTGATCCCAGCTCCCCTCCCAGAAGGGCTCACCCCAGGGTGTCTGCACATGCCCTCTCGTGCCTCCTGGATCCTGTTCTTGCTCCACCACTCTGGCAGGCCTTGGTGCAGCATCCTGGTGTCTCCCACTCTCTGCCTTGAGGGGCCTCCTTGCTGCACCATACTAAGACCTCACCACTCGCTACTCAGCCTGCTTCTCTTGCCTTGCTCCATTTTTTCTGTAGATGGAGAGAAAGGGTCAGGTGTGGCAGGTCCTGTGTGCTGACCACTTCCTGCTGGCCTTTGCCAACCCTTACCCTACAGTCGTGTCCTGATGGTCTCCGTGCCCTGCCACTGGCCCTGCCCCTGTAGTCCCAGAACCATCCATCCTTTCAGAATCTGCACCAGGTCCCTTGCCGGCCTGCTGAGCATCTTCCATGCACCCTCCTGAGGCCGACAAGGGCTGTGGGCTAATCACAGTCAGACCTTGCTTCTCCCTCCAGTTTTGGCTCAGAGTTGTTCTCCAGTGGTCCAGTTAGAGCATCCCATCCTGGGCCCTTCCCACCTGCTGCATGTCCCTGCTCCACACGCCATGTCTCTGGATGTGTTCAAGTGGACGTGTCACCTTGGCATCTCCTGCCTCGATATTGCCTGTACACAGAAGGCTTGGTCATGTTTATTCGACAGATGGCAGTAGGGGCCTCCTTTTCAGCCTATGCATGGCAGGTGTTCTGCCCCTGATGGCAAGGACCTCCCCACCCTGGAGCCCTGCCACACTTGCAGTCCCCAGAGCTCTCCTAGGACACCCCACCACCACTGCCATGCACAGCACAAGCAGTGCCTCTTTTCCCCTAAGCATATCCCACAAGTTGGCCTTTTCTAAATAATCTCAACCAAGAAATGGAGGGGACACTAGAGACCTTGATAGGTCAAGAGCAAAGGTGCCAAGGGGTGTAGTGCTGGGCTGATGATTCGGCAGCACCTTGCCACCCCTGGCACCGCAGGCGGTGCCTTCACCTCCCTGGGGTTCGGAGGGCAGAGAGTGGATGTGTATTCCTATGGGTCTGTGACCGCCAGCCTGCAGGGCTGCCCAAGGTCCTCGGGAAGCTTCCTGGAGTGTGGCTCCTGGGCCCCATCCTTGAGATTTTGATCCAGGAGGTGCCCCTTTGTCTGGACCTTCAAAATCTCCCAGGTGACTCTGATGAGAGCCACCTGCTTAGGCAGCACAGGCACCTGGCACACACTTTGCTTCCCACACCCCATCCTGAAGAAGGACAAGGTTCCCTTCCATCCTTTGAACAATGTGTGTCCTCTTTGTCCTCAGGGAGATTCCGGGGGCCCCCTCGTCTGCTGGCTGAATAGCACCTGGTTCCTGGTGGGGCTGTCCAGCTGGAGCCTGGACTGCCGCATTCCCATCAGTCCCAGCGTCTTCGCCAAGCTCACCTACTTTGCCAACTGGATCAAAGAGAACAAGGTGAACACACCAGAGCCCGAAAATGCCCCGACTCCTCCTGAGGAGAAGCCCCCAGCCCTGGGCGGCAACCTGTCTTCTCTGGGCACCGTCCACAGGCCTGGGGTCTGCATGGCCCTGGTGTCCTCACAGACCTTGCTCCTGCTGCTGGGTTTCCTCAGAAGCCTGTGACATGTTTCCACCTCTGGGCTCTCCTGTCCTTCTGAGGCTGTCCCTGTCCAAGGCTGAGAAAATAAAAACAACCAAAGGAGCCTCTTTCTCCTGTTTCTTGACTGTGGGAGCAACTCCCATGCCCCACTGCACTTCTAGCCCCTGGGGCCAGGGAGGTTGTGTGGGCACTTAGTCACTCTCTTCAGGGAGCTGGGCCCCACAGACGCAGGCCCCACTCCTGCCCTTGAGGCATGCAGTCATCCAGAAACATGGGGCCTGGGCCTCGCCACATGGAGGAAACCGCCTGTCCTGGAGCTGGGTGAGTCACACCAGGTCAGGGATGAATAAAAGTCTCCGAGGCCCACAGGTCCCAGGGGCTGTCTGTGGGAGGTTGCAAGTAGACTGTGAGGTGCCCTGATGACCACACTAAGTGCCAAACTCTTGGATCAGCACTCAGCCTCCAGCCCTGTATCCATAGTGCTGCCCTCTCCCCCTGCAGAGGCCTGGGCCTCAGCCCTGCAGGCTGCTCCAGCTTGGGGTGGTTGAGGCTTGGCTGACCCAGGACTTGTTGGCTGAGTACTGAACCCATAAGTCAGAATCTCAGCTATTCCCCACAAACCTGTCTGGGTCAGGTTTGTATCCTAACTAGTCAGTGGGACTTTCAAAGGACCTTGCACCACAGCTGCCCATTCTCCTACCTGAACTCTTGATAATAAAGAAGCAGCCCACAGTCATTGTGGGGCCACTGTGCACCAAGTACCATCCATATGTTCTGTGTAAATTCTTTCTAATCCTGTTGTCACTCACATAGCCCAGGCCCTTAACAGCAGGAGCAAGCGAAGTCTCGTGTGTACAATCAGCAGAATCTCAAGGGCTTGAAGCCCTCTGATGCCAGTACACAGGTTTCGTTTCCAAAACAGGGCCTGCCCTTCCTTCTTACCAGGGAAGAGCCATTGAGCCAGACACCTGTGCCTGGCACGGCATCTGGCCTCATGAGCTCAGCAGTGTCTGGGAGTGAGAAGAAAGTATTCCTTCCCCTGCTGGTAAGCTCAGTTATAGAGCTCCATGGTGGGATTGCTGGGCCCTGAGGTGGAAGTCAGCACTTGGTCAGTACATAAGTGACTTAGGCCAGGGCCTTTACCAGTGAGCTCTATGCAGGCCCAGGGAGGAGAAGAGTCTGTTCAGGGTCCTTCTGTGCCAGGGACAGCTGGGTGAGAAGCCAGACTCCTGGCCCCATGCCCATCTGCAATACCACACACTTGGTTACCCACAAATAAGTCACCTTTACTGGAAGATGCCAGGACAAGCAACTTGTACAGGGCTGCGGGAGTCAGAGGCTTTAGGGGCCTTGCATGATGTAGTTCCTGTCTTCTGGTATGAGAGATGCCAGGGAAGGTGTTTCAGATTCAGCTGTGAACCTGGTTCAACAACTTCTGGCACTGGCAATACACATTCCAGGGGCGAGAAAGATGGAATACATTTCTGAAATCCTGAAGTGAGCAAATTCAATGCAGGAACCAACATTTAATTATTTTTGAGCCATATAATCCTTAGTTTAGGTGTATGTTTTCAAGATGCTCAGTAATAGACATGGGAGTTTCTTAGTTTCTTCTTTTTTTTTTAAAGGCAGGGTCTTTCTGTCACCCAGGCAGGAGTTCAGAGTGCAGTGCCATGATCACAGCTCACTGCAACCCAAAACTTCTGAGCTCAAGTAGTCCTCCTGTCTTGGCCCCCCAAAGCCGTGGGATTATAGGCATGAGCCACTGTACCCAGCTCAACATGTGTTTTGTGTGCACTTAAATATTTGTTTAAATGAAGAAAATTAAAAGAGTTCTTTCATTTTATAATTATTCCTAAAACATTGCTTTTGCATGCAACACGGACAAATATTTAAGAACAATACTTGGGGTCCTTTGACATGTGCAAAGCCACATGGGTAAAACCGATGTCTGTGTCTGGTAAGAGCAAAAGCCACTTGCTGATATATCGGGAGTTCACGATGTGCCCGATCAAGATAGGGTCCCCTGGCAGACTGTGTTGCAAGAGATGAGAGAAACAAAGACAAAGACACAGAAATAATAGTTAAGAAAGTGGGGAGGTCAGGGGACCACCAGCACTCCAGTGCCAAGGCGGCAGTTACTGAACACAGCACTTGCTTTTTATTCTCTTTGCCATGTTGCAAAATACAATGATTTCATGTGAAAAAATCATGGGATACAATGATCAAAGTTTTTGGAACTCCCCCCCAAATCATAAAGTGTCCTAGCTAATTTCCTTTTCTTTTCTAGAAGTGAAAAACACATAATTCTTCAGTAGGTACAACCCTTGTGATCAAGGTAAACTGATTTTATCCCAAGCCCAAACTATGTACATGGATATCAATCTTTAATGTCAGTAGCTGCGACCCATTTGATCAAGGAAAAAGTAAACTACATGCTTTCCGCTAGGAGATTGGTTTTACATTAACGGAGGCATTGTTGAGAGAAAGGGAGAGAAGGAGCATGGCCCAGGGTGCAAACACTATGGAAGCCTTGAGACCCTTCTCCTGGGCGGACATACTGCAATCCACCTCTACAGCCGTCAGAAGTTTCCATGTCAGGCCGCCCACGTGTTTTCATGCATGAGACCCCTCAGGCTCTGAGGTTGGAGCTTGCTTTGCTGTACTCCCAGATCGCTGATGTATGTCCCCTAAGTAGGCAGTCAACGTCTGCACTTATTTCAGGCTTCTGCTCTGGCAATTCCTTCACCTGCTCTCCTCTCACAGCCTCAGGCAGAGCACCCCTAAGTCCTAGTGGTCTTACTCCCATCACTGATAGAGCTTTAGGCCCAGTTAGACATGACTCTGATGTGATATGACTGGAATTTAAAGAACTAGAAATAAAAGACAACCACTTAAAAATGAAAACTAAACTGCCATAATTAAAACCAAATCCCTCTGAAAATAGATAAATCTAAAAATCATTAAATAAAAATTAACAACTCTAAAATCAAATGACTGACTATAATAAAAAAAGATAACCTGTGACAAAAATAAACAATAAGAAATCAAAAATCAATGATTATAAGAATCAAATACCTAAGAATAAACAAAAATAAAGTAGTTCTAAAATGAAATAATTTAAAAATACCTATATAATTGAAAGTACCTTTAAAGTTAAATGAATCTGGAAATATATGCCATTTAAAAGGAATAATTACAGATCTTGGGAAGATGGCAGCTGTTGTTCCCTCTAAGCTGTTGTAAGTTTCTCCTGTGCTGAGGAGCAGCGTGAAAGCAGAGCAGAACAGTCACAGTGAAGGGAATGAGCGTGAAGACTCCTATGAAAGAAAGGAAGAAGAACAGAAATCTGCAGAGGCAAACTACCATATTTTTTAGCATTTCACAGAAACAGGAGAGAGAGAGAGAGCGTGCATTCTGTAAGATTGAAAAAGCTATTTAAATCATACTGCTTTCTACAAACTCAAGAAAACAAATTTTGTATAAAATCTAGTGACAAAAATATTGACGTTGGGGACATCAGGGCTTCAAGATGGCATCAGTCGTACCAGTGAAGGAAAGAAACTCATGGATGTCAAACTAGGGGAGCTGCCAAGCTGGATTTTGATGTGAGATTTCACCCCTAAAGGCACTGTTGGAGCCTTTCAAAGAGGTTACTACCAGTATTACAACAAGTATGTCAATGCGAAGAAGGGAAGCTTCACTGGGATTTCTATGTTCCTGGCAGCTTACGTGCTTTTCAACTACTGCCTTTCTTACAAGGAGCTCAAACACAAGTGGGGACCATGCGGGGGGCGCACTCTGCACTAGTGACCTTGACCTTCTTGGCCTGGTACCTTCTGTGAGGAACTCGATCATTGCTGAATCCTTTCATATCCTAGTGACAATTAACCTCCAAATAAAAGATAACTGGTATGTGTAAAACAAAATATTGACGGTGAATCCCAAACAATGATACTATAGGAGGAAAAAGGAAATAGTTACAGAATAACACCACCACAAAAAGTGAAAGCATTTCTTTTTAATGTACTTTATGTACTATAATATATTTTTCAAAAATGTGGTAAAAGATATTAGGAAAAGGATATAAGATACTAAAGAACATTGTAAATTAGAATTAGAAAAATCCAGAAGTGAAGTGAGAGAACGCAGGAAAGAATAAGAAAAAAAAATTGGAAAAATCACTACATAACGTAAGTATAAAATAAAAGAAATAAAGTGACAAACAGTGCGTTGTGAGAAATGAAAGGTGAAAAAGAGGAAAATATAAAAAAGAAATTTAACACGGGGCCTATCAGGATTTGAGAGAAAATTGTTAACATTTGAAAATAAGCATAGAATACTGGAATGACTGAAAGACAAAAAGACACAAAGCAAATATGAAAAGCTATAATACAAAAAAGTTTTCTGGAGATTAAAATATGCTTTCAAACTGTGTATTAACAGACTACACTGAACACTGACTCAGAACGACTAATTGCAAGATGTATTCTAGTAAAATTATTAGACTTTTAAAGAAAATAAAAAATCCTTTGGATATCTAGAAAAAAAGAACCTCATTAACATTTTTGAGAGCAATATTTTGTGACTGAAGAAAATGAAGTAACATACTTAAGAAACTCAAAGAAAGACGCTGAGCCATGGATTTTATACCCAGCAAAACTGACTTAACAGATATAAAAAGTACTGACATGTTGCTATGTTGCTCCATAAATTAATATTGTTATATTAAAGACAGAAATTATCTCAGGAGTTTTGCAGGGCCTTGCCCTGAAGGAATATGTGAACATGTTAGTTTGCATATCAAAGTCTGCCTTGCTTCAGGAGGGCATCTCAAAGGTCAGTAAGGGATGCTTTCCAAGATGATGCTGAGGTCTCAAACCTGTGACTTTTTAAAGGGACCACAACACTTACAGCCTACACACTAGATTTTACTCAAGAATTTTCCAGAACAAATTGGCCCTCCTTCAACTTTTAAATAATTCTCTCACTGTTCCCACCACTACAGCTGAACTTCTGGGAATCCCGTCCAAGAGTCATCTCTCCAGACTCAAACCTACAGGCCCTGCACAACCTGCTTCCACCCACGGAGAGCTCCCTGAA